AAAAAAAAAAAAGAAAGAAAAAGATACAGTACCAGACTCATTGCTTAGAATAAACCACTTTAGCTATGTTTTTGGTTTTTTTGGTTCTTGTGATTACCTTCATATCTCTAAATCATATGCTTAAACTGCTGTTTCATGTTTTATCTACTTTAGACATCATATGTTGACCTCCTGCCAAGATGGATGAGGACTTACACAATACAAACCTATACCCTTCCTTCATATAGTTATTATCATAGTTTTTGGTTCCCCTTTGGTGGTTACCTTTGTAACCTTTTTTTTTTTTTTGAAACCTAGTTTCATTCCTGTTGCCCAGGCTGGAGTGCAGTGGCGCGATCTCAGCTCACTGCAACCTCCACCTCCCGGGTTCAAGCAATTCTCCTGCCTCAGCCTCCCGAGTAGCTGGTACTACAGGCACTTGCCACCACGCCTGGCTAATTTTTTGTATTTTTAGTAGAAACATGGTTTCGTGTGTTAGCCAGGGTGGTCTTGATCTCCTGACCTTGTGATCCACCTCGACTTGGCCTCCCAAAGTGCTGGGATTACAGGCAAGAGGCACTGTGCCCAGCCACCTTTGTAACTTTGAATAATAGACTTTAACCTCTATTTCTTGTTCCACAATTTATAAACTGACACTACCTCTTAACCTGTCTACTTCGAAAGAAAGGGTATTAGGGAGTTCCCGCTCTCGTTTCCTAATTGATTGACAGTTCTTTTACATTGTCAAAGTTGATAACATTTACACTTCATTCTGAGCAGTAAATAAATCTTCTGCACCTTATTGTTGATTTCAAAAGTTGAAATCAGTAGCCATCATTAATATTTTTGACTATATCCATACTTTGCTGAACTGTGTAGTGTGTTGGGTTTATTCCCTGCTGTTTGCTTCCTGTATTACAGACCTTTCTGCTGTTGAAGACTGTCAAATATTATGCCTTTTTTAAAAAACATCAGTGGCTTGAAATCTTGCCACATTTTAGTTTTCTTCATATGTAAATCATATCTCTCGTATAGTGTGTTTTTTTCCTGGAATTTGATGTATCCTCTGTGCCCGTTTTCATCCACCCTTCAAGTTAGGAAAAGAAACATATTTTTCTTACCATGACCCTAATTTTTTCAAGCTTTTTATTATTTGGGTGATAGCTTGGATTCTATTGCATTCTCCTTTTTGAATACTGTTCTCATTTGGATCAGTTACATATTTGGACCAACATTAGCCATTATTATAATCATTTAATTAGGGTCTTTATACCCTAGGGCTGTAAGCAGATTGGGTTTGGGTGGTTCTCAAGCTGTTCTCTATTTCAGAAAAGCCTAATGGTAATTGCACGTTTCCCCTAATTAGTCTCTACATGCAAAGTACAACATCAAATTACTTTGCTGTTTGCTAGAAATATTTTAGGGCACTGGCATAGGGCACTATGATATTTTATGTATATCATAGATTACCAAAAATAGAAAATGATTTAAAAACTTAGTAAATATATAGTAGTTTGGTTTAAGCATTTAAAAAAATTTTTATTATTATTTTTTACCCTATGGACATGCCCAAGTTTAAGCATTCTTTAAAACATGGGATCCTGGGGCAAAAATAACTAGTAAGAAACTTGTGAACATTTTGGAAACCACCCGGTAATGCCTAAGAAAAGTTTTATTGTGAGCCTTGATGGGTTCTGCTTTTCTTTTTTTAATTTTTTTTTTTTCTTTAAAGAGGTTTCACCATGATGGCCAGGCTGGTCTTGAACTCCTGACCTCAGGTGATCCACTCACCTCCGCCTCCCAAAGTGGTAGGATTATAGGCATGAGCCACCGCACCCGGCCGGGTTCCACTTTTTAATAAATGACTGATGGCGTGCTGTTAATAACAATTTAGAAGCAATTCCATATGCCTCCATATCCATAGAGCCAAAGAAGCTCACATAAATTTGATAGAAGTATATTATCAAGCTTGAAGCAAGTGATTTTTTTTTTTTTTTTTT